TATACCACTATTCTTTTTTATGATCAATGAAATATTTTTTAAATAAAAATCAGCCACCAAAAAGAAGTTTTGTAGTCTGAAACTCATTGTGAAAAAAGATCTATTGCGGTAGAGAAAATGGATAAATAAATATATTAATTTTATCAATTTTAAAATAAAAATATTAATTTTTAATTTTTAATTTAAAAATGTTAAGTTTCAATTTTTATTTAAAATATTAATTTTTTATTTTTTTATTTAAAGATTGATTGAGTGATAATGTTACAAATAAATTTTTTAATCAAAATATTGAAAATCGATGCTTTTAAATAAAATAATTAAAAATTAATATTTTTATTTAAAAATTAATAAAATTAATATTTTTAAATAAAAAAATATAAATTTAACATTGTTATTTATATCATTTCTCCATTGCCGTAAGAAGCATATTTCCCTAAAATTCTCACTTTCTCAGAGTGCGAATTACGAAAAGAGGAAAGCCCGAAAAATGCTCAAACATCAAAAAGCAATTAGGGAAAAATGGGAAGCACGTGCTCACATGGAATAAGCCAATGACAGTCAGACATGTCAGCCATGCCAGGCTGATAAGACGCAGCAGCCGTCAACATCAGATCAGAAAAAAAAATATATTAATTCAGAATAATTTTTTTACAACTTTATGTATTATTTCAATAATTATTTATTTATTTATTTAGATTTATAATTTTAAATATATATTTATTTAATAATATATAAATATTATATAAATATATTATTTTTATATTATAACTTAAAAAATAAAATGATAATATAAGAAAATAATTTTTTTATGTCAACTATTTTTATAAAATTTTTATATATTATTAAATATATATAAATAAAAAATATTTATTAATCTCAACTTTTAAAATAAATTAAAATTTTATTATTAATTACATTGGTTTATTTAATAAAAATTTAATTTAAAATTTAATAATTTATTTTATTAAATATTAATATTTAAATTTAAAAATTAATTATATTTAATATTAATT